TTTGTTTGCCGCTGAGTCATTTCCTTTTTACCCAGGGACAGAAATAATAGAGCACACACCAAAGAACAGAAAGGACAAAAAAAAAAAAAAAGAAAAGAAAGATAAGAGCAAGAGAGGAGAAGAACTAGGAGTGCACGAAGAGGAGAAATCAAAGTGCAATTTGTTCAAAGGTGAGTGCGCTTTGAGGGGGTTACCTGTAGGGCCACGTTCATTGTCAGGCCGGGAATGGTCAATACCTAACCTGATGATGGCGAGAGAAAGAAGGGAAAAAGTAGAGACCAGTGAACATTGGTATATAAAGGTCATGGGTCTAAGGCTTGTTCCGTTGGCTATCTTGGATATGATCTGAAATGCAGAGACCGCAAACATGGGCCTACTCCAACATGAAGGGCATTTACAGTAATATCAGTTCCTTGTATTTTTTAAACTAATACATATGCACCATCTTCATAAAAAGTAGGGGGGCAATAGAGGACATTGGTATAAAAAAAGTCACCTGCACAAGTTGGCTCACTGAGTATTAAGGAATGATATGGAATATGAGATATCAGTCGCCTGCCTACACTTACCCATTAAAGGCACAATTTAAACTCACATCTCCCTGATTCAAGGCAAGTTTCTTGCTTTTCTATGAATGTGAACTGTTTTTATTAGGTTTCTTGCCACCATGCAAAGATGCATGATGGCTTGGTGGTAGAGCTGTGAGTCCATAACCAGGTAGTCCTAGGTTCTGTACCTTTAAGTCAATGTGCTGGTGCTCTTTGGTAAGGCATTAATCACCTATTATCTGTAACCTGAATCGCTTGAATAGCACTCGAAACTGTAAGTCCGTACCGTCACTTACCGGCATACAGGCCTACATGCTTCCTAAGCAGTTAGTTGAATTAATAGATTCCTCAATAAAGAAATCACACAATTTCTAAATTTCTGTACCATCACTGTCAAATTGTTTTCAATACTCTTCTGAACATTTACGAGATTTTCATCAAAAATGAAGTATGCTGTCTCTTGTCTGTTTTGCAGAACATAAATAAACAGAAATAACAATAAACAAAAGACGCCCTAACATTGGTGGTTGATGCCTTATTGCACAATAGTTGTTTTTTCAAATGCTCAAGTTCATTTAGCTCATTCTCTTTTAGAATTAATTTCAAGAATGCTGCTCCCCTTCGCTGTATGCATGCCTTCACACACCATTTGCTAAGCATGCAGAATAAATATATTGCAACTACAACCTTTGATCACGAGGGCAAAAAGAAGAAGAAAAAAATGCCATGCCCCAAAACAAGTACGTGTACCAATTCCCAATTGCAAATATTTGCACCACTGCTTCATGTACGTTGTGCTTTCATATTCAATTTTACAATCCAATTTTGAAATTGATATTACCCCGTCAGCAAACAAGGAAAGAAGAAAAGCGGGAATCTGAGTAAAACAACAATTTTTTCTGCGTAAACATCAAACAAAGAATGAGAAGGAAAAAAAGAAGAAAGGATAAAGGCAGTTAAATAAGTTGGGAAGAAATGTTTGTGTTTTTGAATGTTTGTTCATAATTGTGTGTCTGTAATTCTGTATGTTATTGCTATACATATTTGTCCTGGAAGACAGTTCCTATATGGATGTAAAACATAATTATTTCTCTCTTCATGCCAGACCTAATGTCTGTTCTTGGCTTGTTTTTATGCACTTTTGAACTGCCATGAGAACATCATCGTGATATTGGATCATATAATCTCATAAGGTGCAACCAGGGCAATTCATACCACATCACTGTGACCTTTAGAACTAAAACAGCCTTTTGAAGGAAGGCAATTTAGATTAATATTTAATTATCGTCTTTATAATGTGCCTGTCCTGCCCTTACAGAAGGAATACCCTTGCTGGAAATATTCCTATTAAACTTCTAAACCTCGTTATTGCCAAGGAGATGTTATGTGAAATATTTAAAAATGCCACACTAAAGCAGGATTAATCATGATATCATCATCACCAATATACACCAATGTATATCTCCCGGAATTAATTGCAATATTTCTATTCCCACCATATATCTTACATAAATATTCATATTTGTGTTCCCAGTAATTTTCAGAACTAATTATGAAGACATTGATATTTATGTTCCCACTACAATGTTCCAGATCTAATTTCTAGGAGAAAGCTATGGTGCACAATTTTCGCTGAAATACGATCTACCATGCACCGTCCCCTGGTCAGACAATATCTAAACCAGTTTTAAGATTAATTGTGATATTTTTGTTCCTGTTACATATCTTCCAGAACTTAATTAATGTAATGCACACCGGTAGACTTTAAAATCCAGTGAAATTTAAAAGTTATATCCATGTTGAAAGCGGTAGTGGAGATGGCCATGTAATTTAGAAACCTATCTCTAATATCTTGCAGCCCATCCCCTGGCTAAAACTCAACTATACCTGTTTTTGATATTAATCACAATATTTCTGTTTCCACTACAAATCTTCCAGAACTTTTCTCTACTAAAGGTAGATCGAATGGGGATAGCTCAATCAGAGACATGTCTCTGGCTCAATGCTTCGGAAACCTATCTCCCATAACATGCAGGCCCCCTGGCCAGACCACAACTGCACCTATGGTGCTTGGCCCTGGGGGGTTCGAGGAGAAGTGAGGGGTACAAACAGTCTGAAACCAGGTGCACAACCACCCCTCCCTCCCCCTCCCCTTACCCCCTTCAAGGAGTATCATCACCGCCAGCCAGAGGATGGGGGACCAGGGCTCTCTTCTCACTGTGCAAACAACATGCGCTAGAGCATCTTTTGTTCCACAAGTGTCATCGACAACCGTGCATAAGTGGCCGACAGAGAGAGGGGCCGGAATAGTCGGGTGAAAATCAAAAGCTTCCTGTCGGTGAATGGGATACACTCTCCTCAAGAAGTGGGAAAAGAAACTATCAACAATAATAGCTTCCTGTTTTCGTCCGGGACTATTAAAAATGGCACAAAAACACTTTAGGAGGAAAATTGTAAATGAGAGACCGGGTAAATTTGCATAAGAGCAGCAATGGAAATACAGTTGTAACTGTGAAACTAGGGAGTTTCTTGTTGCTAGACGCTGGATGGAGTTACTCGTTGCTAGACACTGGATAGAGCAAGACTTGTCCAAGATTCAGTTTTAACCATGCTCAAATAGGCTACAAAACTTGAGATTAATGTATACCACATAAAATATTTTGTTGATGGAGAAGTCAAACTTTGATCCAAGAGTAAGAAAATCAGAAAGACTTAAAGATGAAGTTGAGTTCTGGTCATGCGATTGCATTGTGAAAGAAACGGTGTGGAACCGACCAGAAAAGGTTGATCATTTAGCATATAAGAATTTGTGTGTATTGCAAGGTTCTGGAATCATCAAATTGATAATAAATTTGGCCAAGTCTTGGTAAAGTTACGAACACTGTACACAGAAAGATGTATATGGGACTACACGAACACGTGGAGTAAAAAGCCGGCCCCCGATTTTTACGATGTTACATGCATATTTAGAATGTGAAGGCATTTGAAGAGCCATGCTTTTCAGGGAACATGTCTTATCTGATGTTCTTCCACACTTGCATAATAAGAATGAGTAATGCTCACAAATTATTTTTCACCTCTTCCCAGAACTCAACCTTCTCTTTAAGATATCATATTGTGGATAAATTTTCAAGAAATAGAAGGAAAATGTACTTTGGGTTTTTTAATTTACATTGAAAGTATTTCTATTTCAAGAAATTCAATATCTATTCACTGAGGTAGTTCACTAAAAGGTATTCTCATTAATTATTATTAATTAATTAGAATATCAAGAACAAAGTAAAGTATGATAAAGTTCATGTTGGTTATGTAAAGCTGGTTTCTCAGTGGCATCACTACATCTTTGTAATGTGTACATAAACAATGTTTAGAAGTACAAAACGTCTTTTTCAAGTGCACTTTTATCTCGTTATCAAGCTCAACGATGTTTAATTTCCTATTATTACTCTAGACGCCATTAAATATATCTATAAAGACCCAAACAGCTTGATACATCCTGTTGAAACCTCCACAAACCATACATCTACTCACATAAAAAGAAATCTGTTCTCTTATATCTCAGTCGAAACTCCAAAGTCTGTATAGAAATTTTTACAACAACAAACACATTAAAATGGCAATGTCTTTAGTCAACATGGCAATCAGTTGTCATTGTATTTAATTACTTCCTTTCTGGTTACTTATTAACAGGGTTCTGGAGTTGTTGTTCAGAAAGAGTCATGTTTATGCCTTACTTCACACGAGGGTGCCATGTTTGGGGAAGTTTTTGACAGGGAGGGGGAGGGGGAGGGGGGCTGGGATTTCTAAGAAAATGGAATGAGGAGCAGTGAAGGAGTGGGGAAGACAGATCTCACATTACACATGGAAATGATCTGGGTTGTCACCTACAGGGGTTCGAATACAGATAACCCTTAAAAATAGTGTTCTAACAGCAAAGTTAATGTGAAGCCCTGCATGGCTGCAATGATGAATGCCCAGGAAAAGAAAAAGAGAACAATGGTCAAGACTGCTTGAAGTGAATATAGTTTGTAAAGACTAAAGAGACAGTAAAAATATATGAAAAATGCAGATCATGAGGGAAAAGTAAGTTTCAACATAATCTCTATTCATAAAAAGGGTAAACAGTTATGAAGCTCTTTTGAAAATATAAAAAAACCTAAAATGATATTTCAAAGAAATTGAGAATAATGTAAATAGTATCCCTTGAACTATCAATCTCAACTCCTATCCCCCCCCCCAAAAAAAACACATACTTTTCCATGGGGACTGTCCTAGGAGGAGGAGGGGGGGGGGGGGTAATTGTCCATGGACACTTGGACAGGAACGTGCACATCATAGGTTCATCATGGACCTACTCCTTTGTTGTAGGGTCCATGGGTTCATGCAGAATTTTAGATAATACAGAAATCTTAGATAAATAAAATGAGAGGCAATATAATTACCTGTAGATGAGGGCAAAGGGTTGAAATCATGCTTTTCGACCACCCTATTTCACTCCTGCACTGCACAGACCCACTTTGACGGTGCTATGAAGGCAAGCTAGAATGTAAGCGAAAATAGAATAACGAATGTTTACAAGACAAATAAAAATGAACTCTTTATCTATTAGAGTGCCGTCTGGGTGATGATTTAATAGCCAGTTTGTGCCAGATTTAATAAAATAATGTTGGACTTGTACCTTGTCTGTTTGAATGAGGAACCTGGCTAATCTGTCATTATCTACAGACCGATATGAATGTCTCCAAAATGACAACGTGGTGATTGGAAAACATTTTATACAAACATACGAGGACAGCTAGAGTAACAGTTTGAATTGTAGTTTTGGTAAGCCAATTATATGTAGGTATATACATGTTTATGTATTATATTATTTCCTTGATTTAAGTTAACGCTTCTAGCTATAACTTTAATGGGGGAGAGAATACCATAGAATAGAGCACAAATAAAGCAGTTTTCAAAAAAAACGTTTTCTCATTTCATCAACTGAAAATTGCTTGCTTTTTATCGCTATTGAGGTTATCCGTTTTTAACAAGGAACGATAGAGGCTGTTCCACAGATGAATGGAAGCTTCTACGAATTTAGATACTCTTTTGCCATATATAGCCTCCTCTACTGGTAATCATAACTAAAGTGGAAGAGCTGTCCTTCCCATTTTATTCTGCTTTATTTGAGCATTTTACTTCAATGTAAGCTTTAATTCTGGAGCATATTATGTGCCATGGGATTAAATCCTTTTTAAGGTCAATAAAACATAAAAGAATTTAGATCGAATGAAAAAGGGGACAATCAGACTTCCAATAACCATTTCCTAAAGGTGTATGGCAAATCCCTAGTTAATCCCTAACATAAGCCACCTAGCACTACCATAGACTGCGTTCATATAACATTTGGAAGCCGGATTCAAAATTGTCCATTTGAAACATACTTTCATGGTAGGCCCTACTAACTTAGGCCCTACCACTTTCATAAAACTTTTCTTCTTACATAATTTACTCAGCACTTGCTTTATGATGGTCGGTAGCAAAAGGACATTAAGTGCACTTTTTGTTGCCTAAGTTCATATTTGTGTTAAATTACTGACATTTTTTTAAAGATTGGGTCCTGTTTACATGTTAGTGTACTATCAAAATAGCTTAGACCCTGCACTGTGTGTAGGGTTTGAACTAGTGATGTCATTTAAACATGCTTGAGATTTGCATTAAACAAATTTTTTGACAAATGTTATTTGGTCAAAATTTTGTTTGGAATAGTGCCTTGACTATGCTTGTGGTCAGTGATCTCCGATATGTTTAAATTTACTACAGGCAAAATTATTTTAAGGAAACAATGGCTGCGGGTTCAACTGAACATATTTCAAAACCGTGATTCCGAGCTGGAAAAAAAAGTCTTATGAACGCAGCCTGAGCATGCGAGCACATACCAGTAATATGATTGACAGTGTCCTTCAAGAGGGTGAAAGGGTTAATATTGAGTAACATTCTGCTCTTAATTACAGCAACTAGCACCTGTGCCACCTCGAAAGTCCATTTTGACACGCCCAACAATGTTAGCTGGTAAGTGGCCTGCAGCCGAACAAAGGGCCCAATTGAAATCCCATTGTCCTCCCTAAAAGGATACAAAAAGGAACCCCATTTGTTACTCTAGATAGTGCTCCTGGGCTTTTCACCCATTAAACCTGATCATGCCAAACAAACTTTGGAAGAATCACTAAACAGGCTTTTAGAGGGTGGGTTGAAAGAAAGAAATTACGTCTTATTGTGAGGGTTTTCAGGGGCCCTGTTAATGCCATGAAAGGAAAGATCCATCATATGAAGATCGGTTAAGTAGCACAACTTTTTCTCTCATCACGTGTTTTCGACGTATGATGAAGAGTGGATCACATAAGTAAATCACATTGTTTGTGATGCAACTTGTGAAAATGTTCCCAAACTGTTTGTATCTACTCTCATAATTTCACAATCAAGCAAATTAGTGTTCTTGTGATTGAAATGCATTTAAAGGAAATGGGCTTACCACTTAATTTAACATCCTAAATTGCTAATCAGGAAGAATATAGGTTGTTAGGAGCGTATTAATAAAGAAAAAGTTTACCAAAATTGTTGGAAATCAAATTCACTAAAAACTAAAACTCATGTTATCAAAAACAAGGTATACAGAATAGTGAAAGTTTGAAAGAAATAGGACCAATAATCAGAGAACTATGAATTTGAAACATCAAACATGATATCACTAAAGTCTATGCAAATCTCAAATTTGCAGTTTGGTCAGTGGATTGTGACTTCGTGGATAACTCTCCAGTTTGTCGTGTACAAAAAAATAATTGCCTTTTCTCTTGGGGAATAACTCAAAATATATCATGGATAGCATATCATTATTGGTTCTCTAAATAGAATAGACCCTTGAGAGTCATACATTTTGGTAAAATTGAAATTTTAGTCATTTTGTGTGTTGGAACCAATGATATTTGTCTGCCACTTACATCACAGAGACATTACTGGTTCGGTCAATTTTAAGAGCCCATACCTATTAAAGGTGACTACAACTTTCAAAAATTCATAACTTTCTTATTTTTTGTCCGATTTCATTCTAACTTTTACTATTTTACTTCTATTATTTTCTGCTTTCCTCTTTGCTATCAAGATTGGTTTTACTTTGGACCTTTTAAAGATGAAAAAGGCTTAGGCAACCAAATTTGGACTTATCTGCTTTCCTAAGGAGCTTGGGCATCCTTTAAAATTGAGTCCTTATGAAATGTAGCTCTGTGTGTTTGAAGTTTTATGTTGGCTTTCATATCACCTTCAAATAACATGTCCATATTGAAGGACTTTTTAACAACAATTTAATCATCTATACGTTTGGGAATGAATTTGTGCCCTCTCGTCATGGGTTTTGGTCTCTTTTATGGAGAAAACAGAAGACAACAACCAGTGGAAGACAGATGGGATAGGAAAATGAATGAAAGAGCGAAGGAGTCCCAACGAGCAGAAGATAGATAGGAGGATAAGAAAATAAATGAAAAGGCAACAGAGTCCTGACTGGCTGGTAGAAGATAGATAGAAGGGTAGAAGATAGATAGAAGGATAGAAAAATGAATGAAAGAGCGAAGGGGTCCCAACGAGCAGAAGATAGATAGGAGGATCAAAAATGAATGAAAGAAAGAGTGAAGGAGTCCTAACGAGCAGAAGATAGATAGGAGGATATGAAAATGAATGAATGAACGAGTGAAGAAGGGGTCCCAACTGAATAAAGAGGTTTGGCAATGAGTGAGAAAAGCCGATGAGCAAACGTGCTTACCTGGGTGGGTAAATAAGGTGATTCTTTAGAAGGCACCACAGGAAGTGTGAGGCAAAGAGCCAGAGAGTCGACAAACATGGAATCCATTGGCATGAACTCTATTGATCCATCTTCATTGTGTCTGTAGGGGCCTCGCCACAGGGATACACACTTCATATTCTGAAGAAGAATGTCCAGAGAAGAAGAAAGCCGGAGCTGCTTCTAAAGAGAGGTTTCAGGAGGACAAGACACTTTTTTCTATGAAGAGTTGAAGAAACTGTTAAATGAAAAAAAATGTACTTAGGCTCATGAAACGTTTTCAGAACAAAAAATGTCAAAAAACACTTCAAATTCAAGTATTGATAGTGGAAAGGAAATATTTATTTATAAAAAGTTTCTAGCATCAAAAAAAAAATAAAAATGACCAGATATTTTGAATGATGTTCATTCATGATTTCTGACGAATTTTATCGTAAAACTTCTGAAAGGGTTTCCAAATTGAGGATTTACCAGACAATAAGCAATACCTAGCATGCCCCGCTGCAATCGTACATGCATACATAGCTGCCTGTTACAAGTGTTGGTTGCAAATCAAATGTCCCTTCTTATTTGTTTAGTACATCCAAATTGTTCATGTCTTGCTATTTATCAACTAAACTTTAAACAAATAAAAACATGACAACAATGAAGGGAGAGTCCAAAGCCTTACCAATTTTGTTGATGTTAAGACATTGGATGGGCTTGCTTTCTTCAAGAAGATAGTCTAAAACTTTGCAGATTTAGATGAAGTTATCTTGAGTTGTGCAGGGGGTTCGTAGTAGGTCCATGGTTTGTGTCATCAGATGATTAGGCCTACTGCTCTCTTGTTCACTGCATGGTCATGGATGTGTCACCAAATATAACAATCTGGAATCAAATCATCATGCCATGATAACTTTTCAAAAAAGGTACCGGTATAGACTTTGTAGGTGCACAAAAACAAGATATTCTTCATAATAATTTTTATTTATCAAGTAATTACCTCTGCAAAAAAAAGAAGGCAAGTTAATGCTGACAAATGTGAGTTTTATTAGAATTCCCAATATTATCAGATCATTCATATAATAATATGTCTGGTTTAGAAATGGTATAACTATTATGAATAAAAAGTCCCTTATATCCCTAATGTCCTACACAACTCTTAAAAATAAATTAATTAAAATCCTAAAAGATATAATATGAAATATTGCATGTAGTCCTACCGTTAGAAACAACTTTGAATCCAGCTGTATGCAGATAATCAACCTGTCCGGAAACGCGGCGTGTTGTTACGAGAGGATGGACCACACCCAGTCAGTCATCCAATGAACGTGCCGAACCTCTCATAGCCGAGACACGCTCGTCGTTGACATTGTCCCACATGTTTACATTGATGCTGTTTTTAACAATGCATCAGTAATTAAAATTAAACATCTTTTGATAAACCTTAAACAGTTAATTCAAGAGGAAATTATTGAATCGAGCAACATCGTGAGTTCAATCACAAATGAAAACTATCTCAAACACTTTACCATAACTTTCTTGAGTCTAAATAGGCGAGTTTCGGATGAACAACTTTTCCTTCCATCGACCCCGCCCGATCTCCTCATTTTAGGGAAACCAATATAACACAGCGATATATAGGCGCCAAGCATGGACCGCTTTACTACTAGTAACATATTCAAATGTATGGATGTTTCTTTCCTGAGGACCTAATGATGAGGTATTCCATTATTAAACCCGTTACTAATGAATGAACTTCAATATTGGAATCCAGTCTGCATATCTTTTTGTTGCTATGTCAGACAAACCTCGAACAAGCCTTAAGGTTGTCAACAACATTTTTTTTAAAGTATGCATACAATTTGAATATGTTAGTAAACCGGTCTATTATTAGGAGGTCAACAATTTAGGTTACATATGCAGATTCGTTTAGTTTACTTCCTATCTCACTTTATCTTTATATTATTTTTTGTTTATTGTTCTTATGTTTTATATTATTCATTTCACCCTTTGCCACTGTAAGCCTGGAATGCTTGAATTACAATGAAAGTAAATCTATTAAATGAATCAGTGGCAGATTTGGGATTCTCAATGATCGGAGCGGGGGGGGGGGGGGGCTTAATCTTAAATTCGGCGAAGGGCATATAATACTACTATGGGACATTTGGATAATGATGATGGGATGGGCATGTGTAGGGCTACCCTCTGTTCTCCCACCCCCTCCTAGGTTCAACATGTTCATCACATAGAAGTTGATAGAACACTTACGAGTTTGTTACTGAATGTTTTCTATGTCTAAATGCTCAATCTGAGTGAAAGTCCAACTGGAGCTGCTGCACTCATCTCATCTTTTGAAATCACTTTTAATAACAAATTGAACACAACACATTGTTTTCTTGAATCTGTACATAACGAATGGAATATTTTGGACAGATTGGAACTCAAGACTAGTTCGACATGTCAAGAGGGTGCCAACGCAACAGGAAGCGACTCCGATGACCTTTCCCACAAGCGTGACCTCTTGCGCATGACTTTGAGAATGGATTGAAGAGTTTGAGCAAGTGCACAGTATACGATGAATAACATATTTTTTCTCTCTCTATTTCTCTCTCTCTCTCTAACTCTAACTCCCCATTCTTTATTTCTTTCACTTGACTTTAAGAAACGAGATGAAGAAATTGAACAAGTACCCCCCCCCCCCCCCCCCCCCTCTCTCTCTCTCTCTCTCTCTCTCTATCTCTCTCACTCCCAATCTCAATCTTTTCCTTCTTTCTTATTCTTTTTAAAAAGCTTACTTTGACAGAAAGAAAATAAAGGGTTCGACTGCAGATGGTCCATATTGTAGGTCGTGACGTATTTGTAATGAATCATTTGGTTTGGATATAGCAACATAGGCTGCAGGGGGAGGGGTAAAATCAATTTTTACCAGAGCAGTTTTCTCCCTTGTTGTTGTTATTTTGAAAAGGAGATGCATTTTGGCAACAACATTGTCAAAACCTTGCAGTCCTGAGACTATACTTGACATCGAAAGAATCCTTGTCATTGTTTTTCATTCTTTGTTTTCATTGTTGACGAAGAACGTCTTGCAGATGCACATGTTAATTAACAGTTGAATGGCTACTTGCCACGTGAAAGTTCTAAACTTTGTCTTGATGTTGGTAGACTAGAATTCATTTTTCTTTAATTTGGAATATAATTCTCTTACATTTTATTGACTGTTAAAGATTTATATGAAAATGTTAAATATTGAAAGCGTTCACTTTCTTTTTGTGTGGTGTGTAGAATAATGCAATTGTTGGTGATAACATTCATTTTCAATAACAGGGCCAAGGAACTTTACCTATTACAGTGCAAACCTTGTCATTTCAAGATGATGGGGTTGATATGTCCCTTTAAGAGGAGCGGCACCTTTGAAGGGTTCCACAGTGACCTTGGTGTAGACTTTCGTCATACCTGGCGGACACGTGCGTGAGGAGGGCTTTCCCCACGATCACAGGTGTACGGTTTCCTCCCGTCTTACCCCTGCTAGTCTTCAACGCCAGAGGTTTCATGTGATTTATAAAGTAACGCCTCTCGGTTTTCATAACGGGGGCATCCCAGCACTGCAGTAGTCTAAAAATGAATAGTCACTGAATCAGTCGGTCTCTGGGGCCTTAAAAGTTAAAACATCACATAGCTTCTCATATCAGGCCCGCGAGACCATTACTGTCCAACTTTTCAGCTGTCAGCCTCCATTTAGGAATGTGGCTGTTTGAAGATCCAATCCGTCTCGTTTGTATACCGTACGGGGGGGGGGGAGGGACTATGGGGCATGCAGCCTCTTTGAAATTACCCGTATTTTGACAACCTCATATATATATATATATATATATATATATATATATTTCCACATATTCGGGTAGCAAATTGATATTGTGTAATTGTTGATATACTCTAATTTATTTTGAGAAGATAAGTGTTAAGATGGTGGTAAATGGGAACACAATATTCTAAAAAAAAAGTGTTTAAAATTTTGCTAAAAATGAAACTGGGTCCCCTTCCTTGACGAAATTGTGCACATACGCATATTTCAGTGTGGTAGCGCTACGTCGCTAAGACCTTACGAAAGTTGTTTTATGGACTGATTTGTCCCTCATACATGTGATGAATCAAGTTTCAACCGTTACTCCTGACCTAGAAAGAAGAAACGCCTGTGTATGAGTCTAGTTGTAATTCAGAACACCTCTCAGTCTCATTTTGGTTTGTCCTCTCACCTTCTTGCCTAAGGCTGGCCTGGGATGCGGTTTGGAAGAGAGACTCCTCCAAACTTTCATTTAAAGAGAAAGTTGAGTCCTGGTAACGATGAGCTATGAATTAGTTATGAGCTTTCTCCCTCGTGTCAACGTTTCATTTTTGCTAATCGATTTGAAAGGACTGGTAAGATATTGTATAAGCGGGACAAATATATCTATTTTTGTCATGTTTATAATTATCAAGCTGTACAAAAAACACCTTGAGATTCATTTTTACATGTTAAGGATTACGGAGGGACAGAATTGCAAAACAAACAGACAAGCAACCCACTACTTTACTGGCTAACAAACAAGCAAATGAACTGACTAACTATAACTAACTTACCGCTAACTAACCACACTGTGATTTTGTTGATAACGTGTTGAAATTGACGGCTAAGCCACATTTATTTTCATTACAACCAGTCAAAGAAAAACACTGATTCAAATAAAGAGAAGTAAAGACAGAGACTCAAAATAGCAATTTATTAGGATAACAAAAGTCCCAAGAATTACGGATGAAAAACAAACAAACATCAGAGTGATTTTAAAAAAATGAAATAAAATAAACTGGAAAACAAACATGTGATTTTGTTGAGAACACAAATGTTAGAATTTGACAGGATAACACCTGACTAGCACGGCTCTACTTGTCTCGGGTGATCTCGAGTAGAGAGAATGTTGAATTTAACAATTAGGAGAGACAGATGCCAACTGATATTACGGTTTTGGTAGATGAGCTAGAACATCAATGCTTTAAATGGGTACCTCTGTGGAGACCGGAAACCACGACAGTCTAGCAGAGCAGCCACTTTTTGTTTTCTTTTTTTGTTTGTTAGCAGATCAAACAATCAGCAACTCTTAATTGAATGTCATTTATACTACGATGACCTACAATGATTTTCAATTGCATTTCGAGCACAAGTTTCAGAAAATATTTAATTTCGAGAAAATAGAAATGTATTACATTTTTTTAAACAAGACGTTGGCATGGTATATGTTGTTGGTATTTTGTATTTTATACAGGATCATAACCTTTTAATTCCATATCAGATTTTTTCAAACTATGACCATGCAGCTTTTAGCTCTGTTCTTTAACTTTTACTAACCCACATGTCAAAAATGTTCATTTTGGTATATGGGTGGGTTTCCCAGAGGTTTCGTCTAACGTCTCTCATCATTGTCTTCGGATGCTCAACGAACTAAAGACAGGCCTGGATTAAGTCCCGTCTCCTCGGTAATAACTGGTGTTTAGTTTGGTATCTCATCCTCCCGTCCTCCTGCTCATTCCGGAAGGGATATATTATAGAAAATATCTCCCATCTCTTCCTCCTGCCTGATTTAAGAACTATGGCACGAACTTTAAATTAGGTTTGAAGCCTCGCAACATCTGTCACAAAACGCAGTGCGGAAGCAGCAAGACCGGGTCCCGGTGGGGCAGATGCCGTATTGAATTAGAAGCCATCGGAAGCGAAACAACAGCACCAACTGTTTCCAAAGGGAAGAGAGAAAAATAAAATAATGTAAGCCAACTGTATCTGATGTGGGTCTAAACAATTTTTTGAAAAGAAAGACTGAGAGAGCAAGTGCTGGATAGTCATTTTGAGATGGGTATAAACGATTGTGGCAGGGATAAGACAGAAAGATCAACAGAGAGTAGGGTAAGATTGAGGGGTATCAGCACATTTACGTGGTTACCATGACAACAATTTGATACGGAATCTGAGTGGTGTCTGTTTTGCCTTCCATGCTTTGGATGTTGCTTGTGTCTTTGTAGGTGCAATGGGCAAAATAAGGGTGGGGAAAAGGCGGATCCAGGGGCGAAACGGTTGCCCTCATCCTCATTGAGGAGGAACAAACAGAAAATGGAGACCCCCCCCCCCCCATCCAAGATTTCGAATACGCCCCTGTGTGTGAAGGGCTCGAATTTATCATCTCTCGAGTATTGAAAAGGGAATGGCGCTTTCAATGATGAGAGATTCGACCTGGTAATCGAACAACAGAGAGCAAAAATAGCGGCAAATGTATCGTCTATTGACCAAAGTGGGCGTCGATATCATCAAAGATGATAGTCGAGACGCGATACCATTTTGAGAAAAGCAAAGGGTGGAGAAAAATGTTGAACAGCTGAGTTCGAAATGAATGACGAAGATAAATAGCATCACGTAGAGATATATTTTGAAAACTTGGACAGTGAAGAAGATTTGGACTCTATTGCTGCGAGACTCAGCTGCGACTGAGTTCATTGTTACAGACAGAGAAAGAGGGTGAAACTGATTGAAAGTTTGAAACAATTCAAATGATTCAACAACAATAACA